ATCAGCATTCTGTCGGACCAGCCTGGTCCCTTGCAGGAGGACGCATTCCTCCCGTGCACACCTACGCACGCATTGCATACCGATGTGCAAAATACCTCCTATTTGTCTCACACCCCATGGGTAAAACACCCTGTGTGATGGTCGAACACGCAATGTTGACCACAGGGGGCATTCCGACAGGCTCCGCATGAGATGCAGGAAGATGGAGTGGACGCGCATCGTCACTCCACCTGCATCTCAGAGCCTGCACTTCTAAGCAACGCTCAAGTAAAAAAGCGCGTGTCGAGTTTGCTTCGGTCGGATGCTTTTTTCCTTGCATGTCCCTGTAGGCTTGAAGCAGTGACCAAGATTCTAACCAGCGCGCGGTGCAAGGCCTTCTTCCTGGCGGACCAAGGCAACCTGACACGCGGTGTCAGGGAAAGGCGATGGAGAATCCTCAAGGCGTGCACGCTGTGCATGGCCTTCATCCTGGCGGACCAAGGTAACCTGACTTGAGGTGTCAGGGAAAAGCAAATGCGGGTTGATCCCACAAAGCTCGAAAGGCTGCACGTTTGAGGCTAGGAGCAGTGCGCGGGACCTTTAACCACTAAAAACAAGGTACCCCCAACAAAAGACAGAGCCATATGGTTTAAACACCACCTTTACAACCAGTGGTTGTTCAACATGTTTTTGCACCAACGGGTGGCCCCCCCCCCCCAAACATTTGCCCCGCCAAACCATTGATGGCTGGAAGCGAGCGCTTCTGGAAGCGCTCGTGCTGGTTTACCCATGCTCGCATTGATGCGCCCGATGACGACATGGCATTGCCCCAGGAATTCGAGCAAAGCCAATTGAAACCAAGCTTCAACTAAACCAGTTTGATCAACACCGGCCAGTTGTCACAAGGCTAGATGTCGACATGCCAGATATCGCTAGAATTCACACATCCAAATAGATCACATGTCAGCATCCGCATCATAGACATGTCCGCACTTTTGGCACATGCTCACATGCGGAGGCATCAGTGCTCCTGTCGGTCGAGCGGAGCGACAGGCGCTTGAACGCAGGGTTAAAGTTGCCGCTGATGGCGTGCTGATGTTGCGGTGGCTGCTGGCGTTGCCCGCTGCCTTAGGCCAGGAGCTTTAAAGGCTGTTTTTGAGGATCCTTTAACCCTTCCGCCCCCAAACCTCACTTCCTGAGTTCCTGGACTTAGTTGTTTTTGGAAGACCACCCCCCACCCCCACCCCTCACCCATTTTAGTGGCTTCACAAAAAGTTGGGTTACTTTTTTGGCCAAGCAACTCCCACTCGATCGGACCCAGACCCAATATCCACTTTATTCGTGTGTGACTCTAGTCAACTCCTGACTAAAAGACAGGGTGTCATTGATAACCTGGTTGGTTAAAATGTAGAAACATGTACAAACTAAAAACATGGTATTTGGAGCAGGGGGATTGAATCGTTTCCAGCACTGGAACCCACCAGAGGCTCGGTCCTTGATTTAAGGGAATCCCTAGGTTCATTCCCAAAACCCGGTTCGGGTCATTCCCTACCTATCGCACCAGCAAGCAATGTCAGGTTCCATTGAGGTGCCCTTGTGAAATTTGGTCCTTGCTGGTCTCCTTCATACTTATATGGGTCAAGATATGGAGCAGAATTTCCGAAACTAGTTGTGGTGCGGCTCACTCCCTGAGTTTCTGGACTTCATACTTTTGGGGTTTGGACAAATTCAGAGGTGAAACAAACAACTGGTGACCTTTCAATCGGGCCAACATCGGAACTCACTTGGAGCAAGCCTGTTGCGATCAACAGCCCTCGTTGAATCTACCCAAAGGGAACACCAGCAGAGGACGGATATCTGTTTGTATGTTTTCTTTGTCAGACCGATCTTCAGCACCCAGTTGGGAGGATCTCTATGAGAACACGGGTCTCCTGGCGGAGTACTTTGCGCCAATCGCGCCTTCCGAGACCTGCGATCCTGTGAACGGGTCCACCCAGGCGCCGTGCAAACAAAAACGGGAATTCCCGATTTCCGGGATTCGGTTTGCCCGGGTCCCCCATTTCTGGTGGTTTGAAAGGAAACCAAAGGGAGGACCATTTTGCAGGCCTAAACAAAAAGACACACCCATGTCCTTTTTAAGGGTGGCTTTAAGCATCACCATTTTGGTTGCGAGTTTTCCTTGGTAGGGAGCTGGTAGGGGTGATGCTTTGAGGGGAACACGTGTTTGAGGCGCGGGGGTTTTGACCGACCCTTAAAGTAATTAAAGTTGGGGGTGTTGGGAACGAGTGGTCAAACATGACACTGTTGACATGTTTGGCATCCATGTTGCCTTTTGATTTCTGGTCCCAAAAGAGATGTTGGGGGTCGACTAAACGTTCTCATTTTTTCCACATCCACAGGGAGCGCCCCCGTTTTTCCGACCCACCTTGTTTCTTTAGCCCATATTGCAAAAGGTACTCGAGGCTAAAAAAACAGCCGTTCGTGGTTGGCAAAACAAGATCCCCTAAAGGACCTGCAGAGACGAGTTCTTGCTTTGGCCTTTGACATTTTGGGTTAACCAGAAAAATAAATTAGCCCATTGTACAACCGAGGTTCATAAGGGATTGAGAACATAATTTCTTGAGGGTGTTAGGCCCAGTGCTTCCGGTTACCACTATAGTAGGTAACCAGGTATGGCTACCTCTAGGTTTTACATCATGGTTTCCCCTGGTTACGAGGGTTAAGGTTTTGGGACGAATAAAAGGGTTTAAGCAAAGGCATATATAATAAAGGACCAAGCCTGAAGTCGGTAGAAACTTAGGATAGACTAAATCGCAGGTAGCTGGTTGATGGATGGAGACAAAAACCAACCAACTGGTGCGAAAGATGGATTCGCGGATCGATCGTTGTTTTTTTTGTCCAACAGAATTTGTTTCCGCCAGAATCCGAGAAATCGGAGGACATGTCAATTCCAGTCTCAGGGATCGACCACGAATCGGTAGGGATCGACCTCTTCTTTTGGCACATGGCCGATTCCCCGAAAGCTCCAAATACCCGGGCGCTTTTTTTTGTTGGCATGATTTGTCGACCCTCTACTAAAAAAGGTTTGGCATTTACCCTGGGTTAAACCGATCGGTTTTCCAAGAAATACAAACTAAAAAAAGCGTTGGTATTTGGAGTAGGGGGTTTGTTCAAATGGGCAAACCACCCGGTTCGAGCCCAAAAAGGGGTACATCAAAAAAAGACAAACCCACTTGGGGATGGTTTTAGTGGTGAACAACTTATGCTGGTTCGATTTCGGTAGGGATGAGAAACGGAATGACCCCGAGATAAACACCATCCCCGAACTGGTTTCCTTTTTAAGGGAATCCCCTTCCGGTTCATTCCCAAACCATGGAACCGTCATTCCCTACCTATCGCACCGATCGCAAGACAAAGAGTTTGGTTACTTTTTTGGGCCCATCCATGGAAGTGAGGTACTTGACGTGGATCCCAGACAAGCCAGTATATTAGGTAACCAGTTGTTTTTCTTTTGGTGTTTATATTTCAAGGGCGTTTCGCCCTTGGTTACCTTTACCAGGTAAATACGGATCCACTGGGTGAGACAAAGCTTTACCACTAAGTTGGTGAGTCGGGGCCAAACCGCCCAAGCCGTCGGCCCGAAACGGGGGTGACTAACGAACTCGAGGTGCTCAAAGATCGGCTGCCGAACCTGGCCCAGCGCGAGCTCAGGCGCAAAGCTTCCCGTTTTCCGGGTTCCAGCTGTAGTTCTCTTTTGGGTCGGTCTTTTTTTTAGGGAACCCCTTTTTGGTTGGTTTTCAAGTTGGAAACCAAAAGGACAACCACCATTTTGGGGTCCCTCAAAAAAAGACACACCCTTTTGGGTGTGTCTCAAAATGGTGGTCCCCAAGAAAGGGGGTGGTTTTCAAGGGAAACCAAAAGGACACCAAACCTGGAGGTCTCTTATTTTGAGAAACACCCTTTTGGGTTGGGGCCCGGGGCCAAGGTAGTAGGTGGGTTGACAACCGTTCGGTCATAACCCACTTATGAGTCCCCCGTGAAATGTGGGGTTAGCCTTGTTAGGGATGTCCACTGTCCCGTTTCTCCCATGTCCACATCCGCATGACAGCCTTCATGACGTGGTGGGTCTTTGTCACCCTTTGTGGGTTTGACTTTTTTTTTGAAAGGAATGGATTTCCTTATTTAGTTTTCCATTAAAACCAACCATGGAGTTCCTCGAAAAAAAGACACATGTTGCCGCAAAAAAGCAGCCCTGTGCCCACTCAGCATCACTTCGCCTTCTGACTCAGCAAGCGAGACTTACATCCTCCTTTCGACACACGTCGGAAGCCAAAAACAATATCTTCTTCTCGGACCTTCATTTGCCTTGTCGTGGCTGTGCTTATATGTGCCACGGTCGAAACACCCCTTGGTTTAGGGTTAATAGGCATGGTCATCAACGCTTTAGTAGGGTGTGGCCGTTGCCTTGTTCCTTATTTAGTCGCCTAGTTTTGTTTGCAAACAGAGGTGTGGCTAGGTGTGATGGGGCGGTGGTTCTTGCTGCATGATGCTACATGGATGATTGGAAGAGCCGGCAGAGGATGTTGGGTTTTGTCACGCGGTTGCTGGACCTCTTTTTTTGTTGTTTGAATAAGCGCATTGCCTACCAGTGAGCATGCCCCTTCCAGTGCTCAGGATTGGAAGTAGCTCGCTCAAACTGGGGTGGGGGGGGAGCATGTCCAGTCAAATTGGCCAACTTCAAGTGCTGTCAACGCCTACTTGTCAGCTGCAGCTTGACAGGCTGTTTGGGTGGCAGATGGGAAGCTACGGATAGTTTGGCAAACTGAGCGGGAGCAAGCAAACCTTTTTTACCGACTGCAACCTGCAGTCAAAAAAGCTTCCGGTGAGAGGACTGCAGAAATCAAAAGCTGCATCTTCAATCTACAAACATGGAGAAATATACCAAAGCTGGTGATGCTCCTTGTTGAATGGTAGTTTTATAGTGCAGGTATGGATTACTTGCCGCAGACTCCCGCGCTCTTAGCTGTCTTTCTCTCAAAAGGGCACGCCGAATGCGGCAAAGAGACGCTATGGGTGCCGACGCCAGGGACGCCAATTTCGCGCTGGTCGCGGATTTAAACATCTGCCTGCTGGCCATTCAGGATGTTGCAATTGAAGGAGCAGGTGATAGGGCCAACCAGCTGTTTAAACCTGTTTTAACGACCTCCTACAATGGTTTTCCTCTTCCAAGGGAACCAGGGGCTGGTTGTTTAAATCACCTTTTGTCCAACCCTGGCAGGTGACGATGATAGAAATGCGATCTTCAAGTGCGTGCAGACCATCAAGGAGACGGTGTCAGAAGCCCTTGCGCGAGCTGGCAAAGATGTTCATGGCCCTTCGGGAGATGGTGACGAGGACGCTTTGTCCGGAGATGTCTCGAATTTGCTGCGGGACATTGGAGATCTTGCTGAAGGTGCAGTTCGACTGCAAGTCGCGCAACAGGTCACCTATCTTCAGAAGATGTGGTTTGTGACCAGAAGAGTGGAGGCCTTGCTTCTAGGCTGCTCTTTGGTTCACCTTTACCAGCCCAACGGAACCTTTTGCAAGGCACGGATCCTCATGGATTTCGGGACCCTCAATTTGCCTGAGGGGACCCCACCTGCCCAAAAGGGTAATTATACCGCACTTTTTTTTTGCCAGGGCATCTCAGTGCAGCGAAGGCTTGTGGAGGATGGGGTGCGAAGAGCGTCGGCCCTGCCCCAATTCCTATCCGACATTTCCAGAATTGCAGTTGAAGGAGCGCATCACGATGATGATGAAAAGATGTTCAAATGTGTGCAGATCATCAAGAAGAAGGTGTCTGACGCCCTTGAGCTTGCTGCTGCGAGTTCTTTTGGTCCCTTGGGAGGCGGTGACGAGGGCGATTTGTCTTCGGATGATGTCAGCATTCTGCTACAGGACATTGGAGATCTTGCCGAAGAAGCAGTTTCGTTGAGCGCCACAGAACAGGTGGCCACGTTCCGGAGGATTCGGCTCATAAACAGAAGAGTGGAGGCATTGCTTCTTGGCTGCTCTTTTGGTTCACCTCTTCCAGCCGAAGTGGAGGTTTTTGGGGGCCCTAGCGCAGCTTCGGGGAGCCCAACATGATTGAGATGTTCAAAATGCTTGCGAAGACGTTTCAGGAACTATCATAAGGTCAGTTGCCTTTCCTTTGGCTTTTTGCCAGGGGTTTTTACATGCAGCCTAGGCTTGTGGAATGGAATGGGGTGCGAAGTTCATCGGCACCCACCACCATGCCTCGCAGCTCCGACCCAGCCGCCAGCCGGGGCCCTTCTGCCCCAACAGTTTTGGAGCCACAAGAGGTGCAGGGTTGCTCCCAAATACTAAAGGTCAACTACTCGGTCAACTACTCTCAAAGGTACACAACATTGGTCAACCAGTTCTCTTGGGATTGCCTTTGCAGGAAACCATGTTTGATCATGTTTGTATCTTTGTGACTGGGTCTTCGGAGAAACCCTGAGGTGCTGGTAGGAGGTGAGGTAGCTGCACGCCAACTGGTTGAGGAGCACTTGTCAGGACTACCACCAGCTCCTTCCGAGGAGCAGGCGAAGCAGTTGCACACCCTAGGGCAACTTAATCGAATCCAGGGGCGTCTTGCAGAAGCTGAGCAGCAGTACGAGCGGGCGCTGGAGATCATGGAGCGCTTGCATGGAGATGCGGACCACCCTCAAATTCCACAAATCCTGTTTGCCATGGGTCAGCTAAAGGGTGACAGGGCAGACTTTGACGAAGCGATGATACTCATGGAGAAGGCTTTTGACATGCAGTTGAGACTAGATGGCGGCGGACTGACCTCCTCATCTGCCTCTATTATGATGGGGATGGTGTCCGTAGCGCGCAAGCTGGGAAAGTTCACAGAGGCAGAAAAAGGACTGCTGACGGTCGTGGCAGTGAGGCGGCAATTGGCAAACTGTGGCACAATCAGAGCAATTCCAGAACAGGGGAAGCGCGCCGATGTCATGCTTGCAAGCGCGCTGTATTCACTGGGGGCCTTGTATTTGGATCGGGATGATCAGGAAATGGTGAAAAAGGCAGAAGAAGCGCTTATGGAATCTTTGAGCATCTTCGACCAAGTTGTTCTGGGGCTGGATGACGCCGATGCAGCCAGTCATGCCGCTGCGCTGCTGACTGCACTTGGTTCCCTCCGGGAGTATCAAGGCCGAAACTCCGAGGCAGAGGGCTTTTACCAGAGGTCTGTGGCATTGGCGCGCTTGGTCGGCTCCGATCAGGGCCACCCTGCCATTGCACATTCTTTGCGAGGTTTGGGGAACTTCCTTTGCCGCCAGGGCAGGCCGGAGGCGCAAAGGTTTTTGGAGGAGTCATGGCGGATCTTCAAAGATCTCTACGGAGACGATCACTTTGAAGCCACCAATACTTGGGAAAGCCTCCAGGCAGCTGAGGCGCTGTCTTCTTCTCCTTCTTGCGTTCTGAGCTGAGGAGTCCCAAGTTTAGAGTGATGTCAGAGGTCAGCCCAGAGGGGGAAGTATTCTGCTTTTTCGTGGTGGTTACTACTCAATTCGGCACATTTTACACGTGCCATGGTCAGTCATCAACCCTTTAATAGTGGTTTCAAGAGGGGTTAACAGAAGTTCCTATTTGGGGACGCATGACCATCCCCTATACAACGTGTTTTGAATGGGATTTGGATGTTCACCTGAAAGCAAAGGGTTTGACGGCCACATCGCCGAAGGGGCTCCGCTTCCGCAGGCGAATGCGAGCAGGGCTCCAGACTCCTCGGGCGTTGGTGAAAAGTTGAGCCCTTTCCCAGGGTTCCTTATTTTCCTGTTTTTGGGTTGGTCTGATACACCTTTTGGACCAACGTTAGAGGAAGTTCCCTCTTGTGGGGTGATTTTCCAAACAGTTCAACCCTGGTTTCCCTGGTAGATGGTGAACGTGGTGAACGTGGTGAAGGGGTCATTCCCTCATCCCCAGGCTGAGATCCTGCACTGAAAAGCTTGGCGCAATCCCATCCTGCACTGATGGGGGAGAGATGGCCATATTGATGGGCGGTCCCCACTTGGATTATGGATTTCAAATTTATCAAAATAGTGGAGCGTTCATTTAGGCAGTACTTCCAAGTTGGAGATGCAGGCGTTGGGTGTCTTGGCTAGATGTTTTCTTGTTGCAAGTGCAAACATATTGGAAACACAGAATTAAGTTGCTCGTCTTTGTGAAGTGATGCCTGCTCTTTTCGTAGTTGGCCGCCCCAAGTGGCGTTCCCCACTTACTAACTTGGCGAATCGAACATCCAAATGGGTGTGTCTTTTTTTAGGGTACCCCTCAAAATTGTGGTTTTCCTTTTGGTTTCCCTTTCAAAACCACAAAGAACGGTGCCACACAAAAAAAAAAAACACACCCAAATAAACATCACCCAGGGGCCAGTTGGAACTGAGTTTCCCTGATGCTTGAGTTGAATCTGGGGTTCAATCCCCGGTGAGTCCCCCCAAAAGTGGGATTGAGATATATCTTCCCAATGGAATCAACCCAAACCACAACAAACAAAACGTCAGGGAAAGCTAGATGCATACACTTTATACTTTATATATAGTATAATTATATAGTCATTCATGCCCTATGGTGGCTTGGGGGCCGTGGACATCGGGTTTCGTTACTCAAATACCTCTCCGGCTCGCTTATGCAGATATAAGTTGATCAACAAGGCTTTTTATAGTAGATGCCTCCTTTTTGAGTCATGGGTGTTGATCATACTGAAACAAGTGTGTATTTGGCATTGGGGGTACCTGGACCCTCAAACTACCCATAAAAAAAGGCTTTCACAAATTCCATAACTTTGGGGTGCAATTCACCCCATTTTTCAGTTGGAATTTTGGTTGGGTTCTGGTATATTCAACTGGAATCAACAGGATCACATAGACATTTTTAAGGGAATTTTGAGGGTTCTGGTATATTCAACTGGAATCAACAGGATCACATAGATTCATGTTGAACTGGGGGGGTTTGAGGGTCCCTACTTCGAGCCGATTTCACAAAACATTTTCCCAGGCTGACGCCGTTTCGCCGTTTCTTGATCGATCGGCGCTCGATAGATAGGTAGGGAATGACAACCGAACTCCGGGTGTTGGGAATGAATGAACCGGTTTTGGTTGGATTCCCGAATAAAGGACACCAGAAAACGGATGGATGGTGTATATAAATCGGGGTCATTCCGTTTCTCATTCCCTACCGAAATCGAACCAGCTGCCGTTTCAGTTGCTTTCAAGAGACGGCGTTCGTTTTTCATTTCGCGGGAGGCTCGATTTCTGGGACCTGAATGCCTTCGAAATCGACCGCTGCGCGTGGGAGAAGGATTGGAAAGCTGGTGGCTGTTGGTGATGGCTGTTTGGCCCTTGTCACTGTCGAGGTTTTGTAGGTGGAAGGCTTATTGCACCTGCCACTATGGGCTGGCCGTTTTAGGGGACCCCCAATGTTCATGGTTTTCCTGTTGGTTTCCCTGGAACAAAGACAACAAAGTGGTTACCAGCTCAAAAGACAGACCCATATTGCAGCTGCCTCGTTTTCGAGAATGCGACATGACCTTTCTTGCACACAACGTGTTCCTCGTTGGTTTCCCTTTAAGACCAACAAACAAGGGTGCCAACTCCAAAAAAGACGGATCGCCACCCAGGTTGCTCCAATTTCTAGCCCAACATCTACCTTTTCACATTTGGCTCTGTGGGTCAAAACCAATGGATTACCCATTTTGGGGTAGGGTCAGAACCACCCAAATTTTAGTACCAATTTTAGTGGGCAGAAGGGGATATTCACCGGGGGTTTAAGGGGTTTTGACCCATGGCCATTTAAGCCTGTCCCAGGGACAATACTCAATGAACAGGTGAATAGACCAGCACCCTCCAACTGCATTTCCCATGTCAAAACCCAAGTGCTGTCTAAACACAGTCGTTGGGGGCTGCTGGATGTTAAATGATGACATCGATATGTAGGCGTGTGTTTTTTTTGAGGAGGACCCCCGCCCCCCCCAAAAAAAAAGAAGGACAAAAACACGACATTGTGGTTTTCCTTTCGGTTCCCCCTTAAAAACAACACAACATAGGGGTCCCCTGAAAAAAAGACCCACCTGAACCCTCAAAAAATTCCCTTAAAAAGGGAAGCCACCCCATAAATTTGGGCTATAACTATTTTTTATGGTAGTTTGAGGGTTCAGGCACCTATATATTGTCCTTCCCAAGTTTCGGCGGGCGATTTGTTTTTGAGCGACCGACACGTTTCGGGACCTGAAAGTTTCCGCGACCTGAGGGGAAACCAAACACAGAGGTGAAAACAGACGTGGCAATGAACTCTTATTCGGGACCCCCTAAGTGCCAAAGGTGGACAGGTCTAATATCCTTTTAAATGAGGTCAAAGCGGGACCCCCTCAAAAGTGCCAAAGGTGGACAGATCTCATCTCCTTTTAAATACATGTGATGTCAACCAAAGCTTTGGTCCCCCCCCCATAAAAAAAAAAAAAAAAAAAAAAAAAAACAACAACAACAACAACTACCCACGCGAGTAACTCGCTCGAACTGGATCTTGAATGTTTTCCGAAACCAGCAATAGCCTCTGGGACCCAAGTTGAGATGCCGTTTGATGCCCCCAAACCTGGAGGGTGGAGGGAACACATTTGGCTGTGGTTGTCAAAACCAATGGATTACCCATTTTGGGGGATTGGTGCACCACCCAAATTTTAGTCTATTTTAGTAGGGGTTGGGATGTTCACTGGGGGTTTAAGGGGTTTTGACCCATGGCCATTTGGCCAAACACGGGAAACATCAGTTGCCCCAAACCGCCTTAAGGACCTTAAGCCCTACCCAACATACCACAGTGGCGACTCGATTATTTTTCTCACGGGGTTGCGGGGGATACTTTAGAACCAGAAGCCAGGATCAGAAGAGAAACATAAAACACATGGGTCCCTTAAAATGGTTGGTGTCCTTTTGAATTTTCCCTGTAAATACCCCCTTTCATGTTCAGAAATCTCCATATGTGAAATGGTCAAAAGACGCCTTTACTCTAAGGATCCTGAATACCCCCTACTCCAAATACCCGCTTTTGTCGACCCTTTACTAAAGGTTTGATATTTACAATGGAAACCCAGGTTTCCCAAAAATACCAACTGAAACAAGCGGGTATTTAAGGAGTGGGGGGTAACCGTTACATTGTGGAGAGTTCATCAGACGCATGCGCTGTGTCACGAACACGTTTGGCAATGCCCACGCCACAGCGCGCCGCCTCTGACGAAAAACTCATTCGAAGTCTCGAAAAAGAGAAAGGGAGTTTTGACCAGACCGTGGCTCATATGTGCAATTCTCTTTTTGGACCCCTCCAAATTGCAGGAATTTTCTTGTTTCCCCTTGAAGCCACCAAAAAACAGTGGGCACCCTCAAACAATTCACATCCTGGTCCCTGTGTGTGTCTTTTTTTAGGTTGGACCCACAAAATGGCTTCGGTGTTCCTGTTGGTTTCCTTTAAACAAAACCCACAAAAAGGGGGTATCAACTCCAAAAAAGACGGACCCACCCATTCGCCATACCCATTCGCCACCATAGGACCCACAGGGCGCGACCTGATGTGGTCCTGCCGCGGCCAAGATGAGCTCCTCAAAAAAACTTTGCGGCCAGGTTCACGGGGCATCTTGCAAAGCGAATGGACCTGCTCGACCTTGAGCAAATTTCCACCAGAATGTGGGGTTAACTTCCTGGACCCTCAAAATTCCAACTTAACCATGGGGTGAATTGCAACCCAAAATTATGGTTGGTGAAATCCATCTTTTTAAAGGGTAGTGTGAGGGTTCAGGCATTTGCTCAAGAATATGTTTTAGTTCCCCCTGGTTTTAAAAAAGGAAGCGGTTTCAATGGCCAACTTTTGGCGGCTCATCTTCTATTTCTGAATCCTGCAACTGAGGTATGTGTACATCTACGTCGCAGGCGGGCGTTTTTATTTTCTTTTTTAAGGATCCATGTGAATTGACACCCTTACGCGAACCCAGCGGAACTGACTACTGACCCCCAATCAAAATCAACCAGGGCTTCTACCCGGACCCTCAAATTTACCTTAAAAAATGGTTATAGCACCCCAAAATTATGGAATGGGTGAAATCCAACTTTTTTTAATGGGTAGGTCTTTCGAATCGGTCCGATCGGTACTCAGATCCATGGTTCCCCCCTTTCTGTTGGCTAAAGCTCGATCCTTCGCAGGGTATTACACCTTCCACCTCGACGCCATGGACGGCGTGCGCATGGTGCTGGGCCACGACTACCTCGGCTGCCCTTTTTCTGGCCTTAGCTGTGCCTCCAGGCGAATGGGGTGACCGGGTGGGATATGGGAGTTCGTTCTCAACCAAGGGTCCACTGGAAAACCCCTCCTTCCTTGTCGGTTGGATTTGTTAAGGAAGCTATGGGGATTACCACGGTTTCTGTTTTCTTCTTCCTTTTGGGGGGGGGGGATGATCCCTGCATGGGTGGCTCGTTGTTTTGTTTGCTTTTTCCGAGTTGGTCGCCGTTTTTTAACGTGGTTTTAAAACGAAACTGCAATGCAAACCGAAGCCCTCTTTTGGGGTTCCCAAAAAATTAGACACACCGACATC